TTTATGTTATTGTTTGTTTGTGTTTGTTGTAAAAAATAAAAAATTTATAAAAAAAAAAAATGGTTGGACCAATGCACGGAAGTCCTGGTGATCAACGACTATTAGCCTTGGTGGTAGTGTGACTGCCTCTCAAGGCCGCTCTGCTGGAAGACTAGTGGGCTTCCTTGCAGAGTTTGTTGGCACTGTGAGAACAGACTGCTGGACTAGATGTACCAAAAATCTGATCCAGAAGAGCACTGCTTATGTACTTTCTCACTAGCTCTACCTATACACTGGAGTCTCCTGCCTCAGGTAGCTGGATTGGCACTCTCACTGCTGGTGTTTCGCCAACAGATGAAGACTTTCCTTTTAGGATATTTTCTCCATCAGCACTGCATATGAAATCATTCCTAGAGGGAACCACCTTGATGTAGTAGAACAACAACCCTGGCAGAAGCACAATTGCTGGAAGCATCATCTTTGTCTGTAGGGTGTAAAGGAGAGGGCTGAAGCTAATGGAATCCACAAGGAGGCTAAGGATGGCGGGGGCTCTGCAAGCATGGGAAACCAATGCCCCTTGAAAGGGGAACCTGAAGTTTCAAGATACTTTAACTGAGTAAGTAATACTAAATAATGATTTATTAAATTTCTATGTCACCTGACAATGACTCTGGGCAGCTCACAATAATCAAAGAAATTACCATAGAATCAATAACAGATAAAGGACGGCAGGTTGACAGGCCAGATGGAATGAAGTGAGGGGTCTCAACTCTTCCTTGCCAAAGGCCAGGGTGAAGAGCCTGATCTTCATAGCTCTTCTAAACAACAGTGGAGTGGAGGCCATCCAGATCTCGGATGCAAAAAAATGCAAAATATAATAGGATTTTAGGGAACTATCTATTTCCTGCCAATATTTGCTTTATAGAATATATAAATTAGATGAGATCTTATGGATCACGCAGGTCAATCTTCACACACTCCTCTGTAGGACCTTTACATTACAGCAAGTTAACATCTTCTGATGGCTGTAGGGGAAGGCACATTTCAGAAAACACCTTATGCAGAAAGGTCTTGCCTCTGTCAGTTGGGATCACTCTACCGTGCATAACTCTACTGCAGTTTCTATGGAGATATTTATATCAAACGTCTAGACCTCCTCATTAGTCTGTTCCCCAGATGAATTTATGTAAAACTCCTAGCTGACAAAGAACCTAAAACAACACAAGCTGTCGCTAAGTTTGCATTTCTGCTTTGCTAATGGCAAATTAATATGGGACTGAGCGCTGGTTACATTGCGTAGACCATCAGAATGCTGTATAGTTCTGATCTCATTTTACTTTTTCTGTTTTAATACGTTTTCTTATTTTACTGTATTTTATCTTATTATTTTTATATTCTTGGTGGGTCAGTGACCTATAAGGAAGTCATTCATTTACAGTTCTACCCCCTGCTCAGTGCAGGAATCCCCTAAACCACCTCTAACAGGTGGCTAGTCAGGCCCTCTTTGAGGTCCACCAGTGTTCATGGTACACTGTTCTACCATTTAACTCTTCCTGTTAGGAAATGCCTTCTAACAGTCAGACTGAAACCTTTCATTCCCTTCAAGATGCTGTTCCCCTTGCACTTGGTTTCAAGAAGCACCCTGTCTTGCCTTTGATAGCCTTTTAGATATTGGTAGGCTGCAATGATATTTCCCTCCCCCTTGGTTTTCTCTCTCACAAGTTAAATATGCCCACTCATTTAAACCAATTTCTTGTGGGCTCTGATTTCCAAATACCTCCTCTGAACCCTTTCCAGTTTCTCTCTGTCCTTCTTTAAACTGAAGTGCCCAGACATGAACACATCGTTCCCCATACTTTACACCCATATAGTATAAAGCTAGGAATTCCCAATCCCATACTGATGTCTTTGATCTTACTGTCTCATTAACTCTCATTCTGGCATTTTCAACCCAGTTTTTTAGCCTACCAAGATCAGCTTGAATTTTGTTCTGTTTCCTAGGGTATTAGCTAGGTCACCCAATTTGGTCTGATCAGCATTCCTTCCTTCCACTTCAACTTTCAAATAATCAGTAAATATTCCAAAGAGGAATGGACCCAGGACCAAGCCTTACAGCTCCCCGCTTGATTCCTCATTCTGGAGACTCTTGATTTTCAAATCAGTCGCCATCCAGCTCATACTTGCCGAGTTTTCTAAATGCATGCAGAGTGTAAAGTCAATGTTGTTGCTTTTATTGTTTTTATAGCATCATTTATATATCGGTCTTCTTCTCCAGAGAGATTTGTTACTTTGGTTTACTGAGCTTTGTTCACCAAATAGACAACAAGACTTTCCGGCCAATAGCCTCAAACCAACAGCCAGAAAACTATATTCTGCTGCTAAGTTATTAGTAACAAATCTCTCTGGAGAAGAAGACCGATATATAAATGATGCTATAAACTAAATGCATGCAGAGTGTAAAGTCAATGTTGTTGCTTTTATTGTTTTTATAGCATCATTTATATATCGGTCTTCTTCTCCAGAGAGATTTGTTACCTAAATGCATGCAGAGTGTAAAGTCAATGTTGTTGCTTTTATTGTTTTTATAGCATCATTTATATATCGGTCTTCTTCTCCAGAGAGATTTGTTACTGTGGGTTTTTTTGGTCTAAAGGACAAAACTTCAAATGTTTTGAGCGTTCCATGATAGAGAAAACTATGACTGAGGAACCAGCATGGAAACCTCCTTTTGGAGAACACCGTGAAGTCCAGATCTCTAACTCTTAATGAGAAGAAAATGACTTCTGATTTCTGAGCACATCAAGAACACTAAATCTTACCATATCCTGCAGCTCTCGTAGCTGCTTCCCTGTGAGTCCTCCAATGCCCAGATCATCATCATCATCTTCAGGCTGGGCTGAGATGACCCCCAGAGAGGGACCCTGCCTTATGAAGAATTCCTCATGCTGATCCAAGAGCAATCCATGCAGCATCCAGGCAGAGAGCTGTTTGTACAAAACTGCATGGCACATGGCTAAGACCCTGGAGAAGTATAGAAGGAAAATAAAACTTCAGAAGCACTGAGCACTGGCTTCAACCAGTGGGCAGCAAATGGAACTGGCAGCCAGGCAATATCTCTTCCTTGAGGAGTTGCACATTCCAATTAAAGCCCATGAATTCTGGATGCTCTGAATTGCTCTCTGACCATTTGCAGAGAATTAGTAAGAAGAAATGCTACTGAAAGCAGTGCTGTCCCTTGGGGGGGGCAGATTACTGGGGTACACCTAAAGGCCTCATGAATCAGAGTTCCTTACTTTTCCAGAGCATGACGCACAGGTGGCAAGCCACCACGACTGTATTTGTAGACTGTCTCCAAGATCTGACAACCATGAATCTGCCAAAGAAACAAGTTCAAACAAATCACTTCCAGGACAGAAAACCAAAGGTGCCCAAACACCAGCTGCCCTCCAGAAGGTCTGGACCAACCATCAGCAACCACCTGGACTTACCACCCTTTCTACATTTCTGCAAATAGTGGCAACAGAACTTCTCTTTTGCATTTCTCATTTCCAGCATGATGAAAAGAACAAGACTCGTCTCAGTTATTAGCTAGATATGTATCTTTTTATTAAACTGCTCCATAAACAAGGCCACCATAAACAAAGGCAGCCACAGATACCAGGAATACTGTACCTTCTGGGTCTTTATCTGCTCTACTACAATCATCAATGAGGGAAACAGGAGCTGAAACTGTAAAACAAAAATCAGTATTTAAGAATACAGTTGTTTGTTGAACTGGGGCAGAAAGTAAATAGTTTCTCGGCAGAATAAGACCTATTTAGTAATCTGGTATCTGGCACATGTAAAAACTTTTCTCCTGGGTTGCCTCCGAGCTACGTAACATATTCCCTTTGGGCTGTGATTCTTCCTTACTCTCTCTGCTTATAAAAAAGGATATCAAAAATCTTCTAAATGTTAAGATAATCTAGATAAGATCTGAATGTTGCTTTCAAATAGTAGCAGAGTTAATTGCTTTCTCCTAAAGAGCACTGGCACTTTTCAGTAAAGTGGTACAAAAAATGCTAAATAGATGCCACACTATGCTACTTTAAGCAGGTGGAGCTACACAAAACAGCCTTAGTTACTCCGTCCTATGCAAGAGTGCCCTTTCCAATTTTAGGATCTAGCGTAGTAAAAAAAAAAAAAAGTATGTTTCAAATCAAACAAAACCCTCAACTAACCAGTAACTTTAGATTAAAAAATGCAATGCAAATATAGCAAGACATCAAACTCAAGACTGAAGCAATATAACTCTGACAGCCTCCATCTTATAGCTGCCTGCACATGAAGAACACCATCTTAGGCTGCATGGGCTACTTTATACAAAGGAATGTAACTGATGAAAAATCCCATTTTTTTATCAGCAGAGGGACTCCCCACATGGAACATCCAGATATTGCAACAATCACAGGCAGACTTCCTGTTATATTCAATACTGAACAACTTGAAATACTCTTCTTCTGAAGGAATTTCAGCTGCAAAATAATTTTGTTCCCCCAAACAAAGACCCACTGAGGACCATCCACCTGCCTACAACCATCTATCCCCTTGTGAACAATGGTAACTCATTCCAGTGTTCTGCCAAAAAGCCCAGTAGACGTTCCCAACCAGGACAACATCAAAATGTTACTGGAAGAGGAGCTTTCCAGGTTGGAAGGTATCCCAGCTACTGGGGAAGAGCAGAGGGCAAGGGCTAGTAGCTTGTGATGTGCTAGATTAAAGCTGAAAGGGCATCCAGAGGCAAAAGGAAAGGCTGATGCTGCGAAGACAGGTATACCTTGGGAAGTGAAATATCAGACCATGAAACAAAACAAACTTGATGCTGCCAGAGCAGAAAAGTCAAGACTGATATTCTGGACATCAGCGCTTAAATGGACTGGAACAAGTCACTTCACAGCAGAGAAGCATCAGATTTTCTACCGTGGACAAGAAAATCATAGAAGAAGAAACATAGCGGCCCTCATTATTCACAAAAGGGCATTAAGGAGGTTTCAGAATTGTGACTTGAAAAAAACCTCAAATGATAGAACAACATCAGTTCCAGTGCAAAGCAAGCAACCACACCATGGTGAAACAAGTCCAGATCCAGAGGAGCCGTAGTTCAACAGTTCCATAACAACTTGCTTGTTGATACAACACACATGCACACAGATACAGTCACATTCATTTCAGGCAACTGAAAGGTTATACTGGGAGTAAAATATCATCTGGAGCAACAGGAAAACTTGACATTGGGATATGAAATGAAGCAGGAGACAGCTAATAGTAATAGTTTCTTAGACAGCTAAGAAAATTCAGTATTTATAGCAAATATCTTTTTCCAGCTGGACGTCACCAGATTAGCAACATCAAAATCGAAATGATTATATATTCTACAACTGAAGATGGAGAGGATCTATAGGTAGCCCTCACTTAACGATCATTCGTTTAACGATTCAAAGTTATGATGCCTTGTAATGGGTACTTTATAGTTCATAAAGCACTTCTGGCCATCGTTAAATGTCATGTGGGCTCCCCAGCGGTCATGTTGCCATGTTTTGGGCACTTGGCAACTGGCTCGCATTTACGATTGCCAAGAGCCCCATAATCACGTGATTGCCATTTGCAATCTTCTCTGCCGGCTTCCCCAGAAAGTCAGTGGGGAAGCCAGCAGGGAAGGTTGCAGGCAGAGGGGATGGAGGGAAGCTGAAATCCTTCTGCAGTCTGCAGGAATGGAGCTCAAATCCTGAAGATTTGAGCTTTGTTCCTGCAGCCCCATGAAGCTCCGTACACGGAGGGGAGGGGAAACTCTTTGGCAGGCTGCAGGAATGTTTGAGAGCAAAAGGGTTGCCTTCTGGGAAGATTTCAGCTCCACGCGGAGCTGAAATCCTTCAGCAGGCAGCCCTTTCACTCCGTTCGTTCAATGACCTGGGAGATTGCTTAACAACCTGGGAGTGCCTGGACTGCAGTCATTGAGTGAAGCAGTCGTGTGGGCACCTCGCTTCACAACCACTTTGCTCAACGATCAAGATTCCAGTCCCAGTTGTGGTCGTTAAGTGAGGACTACCTGTTATAAAAAAAACCCTGGTGCTGTCTGGGAGTCAGATCACAAGCAGCTTTTTCCAAAATTCCAAAACAAATGGCAAAATTGACTTGTTTGATTAGGGACAAAACAACAAGTACTTCTATAAAAGATTGGAAACCTTTTATGGACTTTTTGCTGAAAATGGACAAAATGAACTGGTGATCTCTGGATCTGCTGATTAAAATGGGCTGAATATGGGAAGAAGGGAACTATATAATTCTAGAGGGGGAGAAATGGTGAAAGTTTGTTCATAACTGCTATAAAGATCAGAAACCACATCTTTAACTTTCTTTTTTCTTTATCTGTACTGCTTCTAGCACTTTTTCTTTTATCTTTTTCTACTTTTCTTCTATATATTTTTTCTTGTTTAACTTTTAATTATGTAAAAACTTATAAAAAAACCAAAAGTACAAGACATGAAGTGGGTGGTAGGGGGTGGGCTACACTTGGGGAAGGGGAATCGCACCTTGAGCAATATCCAGGAGGGTGCCTTTCTGATCCATTTACAGCTTTCAGAAAATACCTTGATGGAAATACCCTCAGGTGGCACTGCCTCTGTAAACATCAGGAACAACGGCTGTAGCACCAGGCAGGTGCCTTGAGGTTTGCAACCAAACTACAAGGCAACAAGCCGTTCCCTCCAGTTCTTCACACAAGCAAGCACTTACAGGCATGGACCGCGGACCAAGCCCTATTCCAAACCACTAGATTACTCATTCCAGTTTGATGAGTATTCCAAGCATTGCTTTTGAGCCAACTATAGATCCTTTAAGATACATGCTATCCAGTATATATACTTAATTAGTTTGCAAACCAGAATGTCATGTGACATATTGCCAAATGCTTTTTTCAGTAGTGCGCAAAACCTGAAATATTTGAGTTTGAAATGACATTTCAAGTTTACCTAAAATATTCCAGTGTTGTTTCAGCCATTCTGGAAGCATTCTGAGTTCAACTTAGGGCTGAATTTGAAACTGGTGTTTCAAGCTTGAAACATCTGGAATTTAGACCATTGCACTCCACTAATATTTTATGTCTACAGCATGATATCACCCAGGAGGTCCTCCTATACTTCACGGAAATCCTTGGTCGCTTCAAACATTCTACCTTTATTTCTGGGGCATGCAATGAGTAATTAAGGGCTTGCCTAGAGCCCCCTACAGTTAGTAGCGATTCAAAAGTGGAGAGATTTCTATAACTACAGTAGCTCCCTTTTTGCCTGAGTGAACCAATCTGAAAAATTAGGAAGGGAAATAGTTAGCATTTTGCCAAAGTCCAGTTCTTTGAAGATATGCAGGGCTGGAACTGAAACTGATCTGCACAGCGCTACCTACAAGGAGGAGGAGAAAAAACCCATCTAAGATTTAACACTAAGAGAGCCACTTTGATGTAGTGGTTCAGGTGCTGGTCCAGAAACCAGCAGACGGTGAGTTCTAGGCTTCCTTCAGGCATGAAAGGCAGCTGGTAACTTTTGGCTAGTCATTCACTCTCAGCCTAACCTACCTCACAGGGTTGCTGTTGTGGGGATAATAGGAAGCAGGAGAGTTAAGAATGTTTGCTGCTGAAAGAGAGAGAGAGAGAGAAAGAGAGAGAGAGAGGATAAAAATATAATAATTCTTATTAGAGTTAGTCCTCACTTAACTATGATAACTGCGACTGGCAACTGTTGCTATGCAACGTGGTCATAAAGTGAAATGTCACGTGACCACGCTGACTTATGACACAGTTGTGGCAGTCCCAGCTGCCTTTGTTAGGCAAATCCCGCATAATCACTGTGTCCCACAGTCACAATTGCCATTTATGACCTGCTGGCATCCCCACTGACTTTGCTTGTCGGAAGCCAGCAGCGAAGGTTGCAAATGGCAATCATGTGACCATGGGATGCTGTGATCTCATAATTGTGAGCTGGCTGCCAAGCACCCAAATCATGATCACATGACTGTGGGGATGCTGCAACAGTTGCAACTGCCAGGACCTGGTTGGTTGGTTGTTGAACAAGTGGTCATTCAGTGAGGACTGCCTGTATTCTCCACATATTCTAAGAGAAAGATCAGATGGAGGGGCATGAAATGAAACGCTTCCGTACCCTCAAATCCATCTTTAGAGATTGGCTGCAAAAGAGCAAGAGTAATTCAGCCCTGTACTCCTCTTTTCTGGGACTTGTTCTCGATAATCACTCCAAACTACTGTAATTAGTGGCATATAATTTTGGCCCGCTCTCTCCTTATTTCAAGCAGGTTCCCAATTGGCCCCATTGGGTGGAGTCTGGGTTACATATTAAAATAAAAAACTAATCTCTGCAAGCCTGAAATCTGCCCCTGTTGCGGCTGGGGGAGTCTCTTTTCAAGGTGCAGGTGAGAAATGACTTCTCTTGCAGTACTCACCTGGTCCAGAGAATAGTTGACATAAGAGATGGTAAGGTGAGGATCAGCCAGAAACTGCCCAAAACAAAGGGATAAAGTATGAGTGTCTACAATGAGCTTTCGGTGGGAGGGGGAAGGGAAAAAGAGGCAGGTTGTCAGGAAGGTAACCTTCTGCTGTGTTTTATTTATCCTGCAACACCTTATTTGAGATAAGGTCCTAATCTGTCAGAAAATGCAAGCTTGGAAGTGTCTATCTTGCACAAGACAGACTAGTTTATTGTCAAAACTTGTATTATTACCGTTAAGGTGGGGGTCCTCCTTCACCCTGCCTGAACATCAGGCTTCCCTCATTTCAAAACCCTGCTATACAATCTACTAAACTGGCCATTTGGTTCTTCTGTTCTATAGTCATCAGATCACCATTGCCCATCTAGGTACCTAAGCGCTGCCCTTCCAGATGCCTCTCCTTGCCTTGCAAGGTACTGAAACCTACACCCCAGAGATCCATCTCATTCTACACTTTGTTTTGTGACGTGGACAGGAAACCAAAATATGAGCCATGGAAATAGTGCTGGGAATCTTGGGAAATCAGGTCTGCCCCTTTAAACCAATTATTTCAATCCCAAAATACCATAGAACATTTTCATTTGCCCATTTTGGAGGACTGCATACAGTCCACCAAAGAAAGACATTTTAAGAAGTTGCTACATGTTGTTATTTTTTCTCATTGTGTGTTGCTACCCCTAAAAGGCTACCCAGCAGGGTCCGATAAATTTTATGTACTGTATCCTATCTTTTATCAGATAAGAACAGGTGGCACAGTTACATTAAAGGTTGCTAAGATTTGTCAAAGGTCAAGAAAGGTCCAAGAAGAAATGGTTTTGTCAGCTGAGAAACAGATAAACATGAATTCATTGAAAATGTTAGAAAGATGCCCTCCTGGTCTGTCCAGCTTGGCATTCTGGCCAGCAGGGCCAAGGTTGACCGGGAAGCCGCTCTTACCCCTCAGGGCTGCGGGTTGGGGGGGCGGTAGTTACAGCACCAGCAAAGGCAGGACCTCGGGTGCAGGGGACCTTGGAGTAAAGTGAACTGGGCTTCCGGGAGGGTTCACCCGCCTATTCTGTTTCCTTCTCGGGTAGCCCAAAGAAAGAAGCCGAGGGAGGCGGCACAGAGAGTGGCCGGGTTCCAGCGCGCCCTCAGCCGGGCTGAGCACCCCCCGCCCGGGCCACCTTGGGCGCTACGCACACAGAGCGCCTCTTAACCATCGGCGCTTCGTCCGCCGCCTACGGATCTGCTTCCGGGGGCCCTGCCGTGCACTCCCGGCTTCCCCGCAGGAACTCCGTCCCCTCGGGGTTCGGGTCCGGGCCCCCGTGGGCGTCGGCCCGCCCCCTCCGGCGCCCCTCACCTCCTGCTCCAGGGCCAGC